AACTCAAGGTCAAAGACCCAGAACCATGTACATATCCAGCTTGCCGAGTCGAGAGCATCTGTGTCAACTCCCAGCACCGCAGCAGCCAGCGCTGGCTCCGAGGAAGCTTTGAGGCAGGGCCACAGCCACCCCACCAAGGATAATTTCCCTCATGAAGTCTTTGCCAAGCGGCAGATGTGCAATGATCTTTGTCTCCTCGACATAGGCTGTGGGCCCTGCATCCTGTCGGCCTCACCCATTCTCACCCACCTCCTGTTCATTCCATCCTCCTCTTTTAGCAAAGATTTTTTTCCCTTTATAGTTAATTATGCAAGTGATACATGAATACATTCTGGGTCTAAATGTGTCAAACAAAACAAAAAAAGTGAAAGTCATAGGAAACATACCCCCCACTCCCTACCCCATGCTCCAGACTTTGTCTTTCATGTGTAAATACAGATATGAGTACATAATGGGTGACTTGATTCTGTCTCCGTTGTATATACATGGCATCTATTATTTCTCAACTTGCTTTTCCTATCTGACCATGTGGCATTCCGTGCGGGTACATTGAGGATCTTTTTGTTTTTTAACTGCTGTTGAGTATTCACAGTTTAAAAATGAAAACATTTCCTAGGGGCATTTAGGTGGCTTTTAATTTTTTTTTTTTTTTTTTTTTTTTTTTTTTTTTTTTTTTGCTATTCCAAGCAGCCACATTGGATCCTTGCTGACTCCTCTGTGAAAATGAGTATGTGTGGACCGGAGGATCAGGACTTGGTGGGGGGATTTCTGTGCCACTGGCCGCATCCCCAGGAAGGATGAGGCACCCTCCATAGACCTTCTCAAGACTTGATGTCCAGAGCCTGGTGCTAGCCTCTCTCCCACACTGTCTTGTGTTGGTTGGCAGCTGCTCCCTGAGAGAATACCATTTCCCACCTCGACTGTGAGCTCCCAAAGGGCTCCACCAGGGATGTCTCTGGGAACACCTCAGTACATCACAGGAGAATGAGTTTGGCAGATTAGTGGCTGCTGGAGCAAGGCTGACACCCCCCACCTCCTCCCGTTTCAGCTGGACAGCCTCACAGCCCACATTCCCCTCCTCAACCCCTGTGAGATGTGGAAACAAGCCACAAGAAGCAAGGCCAGCTATTCTAGCTAGGGGTTCTGCATGTGCCACCCCCATTCCCTCCCCAGGAGAAAGCAGTGAGTGTCCAATGGCTGAGGCTTGGGCACCCTTTCTTCCCTCACCCCCTGAGCCCCACCTCAGCCACCACCCCAGGCCTGTCCACAGCACCCTGTGATTGTAAACTCTCTTCCTGCAGCCCCTCCCCACAGTCACCATTCCCCCAAGGCTCTGCCCTCAGCCAGGGAGCAGACTGGTCCCTTCCTTCGAACCCCAGAGTCAGCGGTAATAACTGCTTATCCACATTTGCCTTTCTCAAAGAGCCTTAAGAGCGGACTAATCTGCCATGCTGGCGTGTCAGCAGCTACATCAGAAGGGCTGGAGATAGACTGGGAAGAGCCTGGGGTGGGACTGCCCCAGTCAGCCTCCAAGTCCGGCTGCTCCCACCTCATAGAGGTGCAGAGGGAGAGAAGGAAGGGGCTTCGGCACCTCTCTAGCTCCTGCTTCCCCAGAGTGAACTGCTATTGACACTGCAGCCTGCACTTAGGGAAGTCTGCAGAGGCTGTTCATACTCACTGGCAAGTAGGTCCCCCCACAAGCTTCTGAGGGCCACTCCTGTTCCCATTTTACATGTGAGGAAATGGGAGTGGGCCCTGGCTGGGAAGGGGCTCTCCTGGTTTCCTCTCCCTGCTTCCTTCTTTCATCTCCCTTTGCAAATATCTTCCCTTTCCACCTCCTCACTGAAACCAGAAAGGGAAGGGAGGCAGGAGGAATTTCCACATTGGAAGGGGAGGAAAGGGGTTTTCACTGGGTGCAGTGGTATATCAGCCTTTTCTGGGATCCACTTTTCTGGGATCCACTTTGGGGTGAAGGGGGAATCGTGGTGAGAGTGCACACTCTCAGATTCAACAGGCTCCTGGGAGCTCTGGGGGCGAAAACCCTCCCATCAAGGACCTGATCAACCCTCCGGCAACCTCTGGTCCTATCACCACTATGGAAGTCCAGCGTGCCTCAGTGTTCACACACCTTGGACAGCTCTCAGCAGCCTCTGAGCACCATTTCTGTGCCTGCTGCCCCCACCAAATTAGCTGAGGTGTTCTGGCATTCAGTGCTTTCAAGGAATACATATTAGACTCCACCCATATGCTGGGCACTGGGAAGCAAGCAGAAACAGAACAAAACCAGGCTCCTGACCTCATCTGAGCATGGGGAGCCTGCCCATCAATGAGCAAATATACGTGACTCTGTCAGGGAGTGATGGGTGGCAAACAGGAAACACGAGGGGTTAGGGTCTATGTGGGGGCAATGGGGTGATCAAGGGAGGTGTCTCTGATGAGGTCTCATTTGAGCAGAAACCTGAGGGAAGGAAAAGAGCACACCATGCTGATAGCAGGGATGGGGCAGGGGCCATTCTGGGCAGAAGAAAAACCAGTGCAAAGACCCTAAGGCAGAGAGTGCCTCATGGGCTGAGAAGTAGTGAGGGGGGCAGTGAGAGGGACCAGGGAAAGACTGGAAGGAGATAAATTCAGGGGGTGGATACGGCAGCAGGGAAGTCACCCAGGGTCTGGGGGATCCTGAAAGATTCTGATTCACAATAAAGTTGTGAGCTCTCTCAAAAACTGTGGCAGAAACCCCTGGAAGCTGGACAAAAGCAACAGATTCTTTTCCCTCTAGAATCCCTTCCTAGTTATATTGGGCCATGGAAACAATATGGTCATTTCCTCCTCCTACTCCTCCTCCTCTTCCTCCCTCCCCACATCCTCCTCCCTCTCCAAACTTGCCCCTGACCTTGTCCCAAGCTGGCTTGCCTCCGTGCAGCAGAGGCAGTGGCTGCCTCCTGGTTGCAGGCAGAGGACAAGGCCAAAAAGGGGACGGGAGGAAAGACGCCCCCGGGAGAAGCAGGCGGCAGCACGAGGGAGGACGTCACGGGGGCCTCTGACCGCTATTCATTTCAGTCCCCGGGTGTCTCCATCAATAACCGTCTGCCAGTGACCAGGAGGGAGGAGGATGGAGGAGGGAGGGAGGGAGGGTGATCTGGGGTCTGGGGGAGGGGAGGAATGAGACAGAGTGGGAGAGAGGCTCCTTGGAAGCTCCTCCAAGCCTGGGGCAGGAGTTGGAGGTGGGGAAAGCCGAGGGGGCACTGGGAGCTGAGAGTTTCTGTCTCCCAGGCTTTTCTCCCTGCTTCCTTCTTTCATCTCTGTTCCTTTCACAAATACATTCCCTTACCACCTCCTCTCTGAAGCCAGGAGGGGAAGGGAGGCAGGAGGAATTTCTACACTGGAAGGGGAAGAAAGCGGTTTTCGCTGGGTGCAGGATGGATGGTGGAGGAGTCAGAGCTGCAGAGGACACCGGGAGCATTCTGTGCCTGGCAACAAGAGGCTAGAGCAAGCCTGGTGACAAGGGCTGGCATAGGTACCAGACTGGCACCAGCAGCCTGTGGGCTTCATGAGAGGAGGGCCTGGGCCACGAGGTCTGGCACAGAGCCTGGCACAGAGCGAGCACTCAGGAAATAAATGGCTATGGCAATGACCAAATGGCTGGCTGTGGAGATTGGCTGGGGGTGGACTAGACCAGCCAAGGAGGGCTGCCTGGAGGAGGTAGAACTTGATCAGATTCTTGAAAGATCAGTGGGTTTGGGAGAAGTGAACATGGGGAGAAGGGGCATACCCCCTGAGGAGGCAGTGAGAGCAGAGGAATGGGGGGCAGAGGGGTGCAGAGGGGAGCACAGGTTGTTGGGGATGTGGTCTTGGGTAAGGTTTTGTGAGAGAGAAGAACAAGAGAGGTGGCCATTCCACAGTGCGCCTTCTCTGGGGCCATGGGTGGCTTGAAAAGGTCTGAGGTCACTGTTCCCCAGGACATTCAAGGCTGCTTTCGACATATTGAGCATTTGTGCTTTCCCCATGGTTTTGAGCCTTGCAAGCCTCCCAATCCACCTTCAGCCACATCTGTAGGCAGAGGAAGAAGGCCTGACACGGGACGTACTGGGCAGCTTGAGGGAACTCCCAGAAAGACTCCCCCATCCCCATTCTCTTGGACTTGTCAGCACACCTAAAGGACAGCACTGAAAAGTCACCCCTTGCGTATATTGCTCTGTCAAATCCAGAATCCCTGGCCAGTGGGTGGGGTGTGGCCCATTTAGAATCACCGCTAGACTGGGCCTTCTCAGTTCACAGGTGGGGAGACTGAGGCCAGAAAGAGGATATGATTTGTTAGGGTCACCCAGGGAATTAAAGGCCGGGCAAGAGTGGTCGAGTGCTGTGCCTCGGTGGCCTCGATATGCCCTAGAAGCCCTCTGATGGGAAGGGGTGTGAAGACCACCTGTCACTGCAAATCAGACAACAGAGATTGGGACATTGGGGACAGAGGGGGTGCTTATTTTATTAGGAGGGACTGGCCTGAGGTCCTCCTTACAGACTGAGCCTTTATTTGGAAGGCCTAGAGGAGCCCTCCACCATTCCTGATGGAATAATGCCCAGCACTCCTACTGGCCAGAATGAGAGTCCACGGTCAAGTGCGGCCAGAGGTTCTGGGGGTGAGGGGTGGAAGCTGCCCCTTCTAGGAAGTGTAGGGGGGAAACAGAGGGCAGAGAGGTCTGAGGCACCAGGGCACCGGGTAAAGAGAGACCCGTGGGGAAAGGGGGCTGTGGTGGGGGAAGATGCAGGGTGGGGAGACTCCGCGGAGGAAGCAAAATAGAAAAGCAAAGGGAGGGACGAGAGGCAGACAGCCGGGAACGCCGAGAGGCAGAGAAGCTCCGAGAAGAGTGCACGGGAGAGAAAGAGAGGTGGGGAGAGGGACCGAGCGCAGGGAGGGGCGGGAGCCTGGAGGGCGGGCGGCAGGGCGCGTCGGCGGGCCCGGGGGCGCCCCACTGACCCTTCTCGGCGCTTGCTTCCCTCCCCAGGCTGCGCCTTCCTCACCTACTGCGAGCGTGAGTCAGCGCTGAAGGCCCAGAGCGCGCTGCACGAGCAGAAGACTCTGCCCGGGGTAAGTGGCGCCCGCCGCGGCGCGAGCGGCCGACGCGCCGACAGGGGGCGACTTCGGGAGGCCGGGCGGCGGCGCGGCGCGCGGGGAGAGGGCGGCAGGGCGCTTGTGAGCCCGCACGTCCCCCTGCGCACCCCCCGAGCCTCCGGGCTCTCGGCCGTCCAGGCCCGACGGGATCCGGGGCGGGGGCCCCACTTGGCCGTGGCCGTGAAGGTGGAGCCCCGGCGCTGTTCCTGCGCGGGCAGCCTGGGGCGGGGGGAGCGGCGCGTCCCGGGTCCCGGGAGCGGGGAGCTGCCTCCGCCGGGCCCGCGGGCCGCGTGCGCGATCCAGTCCGCCCATCGAGTCGACGCGAGCCGCTCTGGGGGGGCCGGCGTGGGAGGGGGCGCCGCGAGTGAGATCACCGCGGTTTATTTAAGGAGCCAGCCCTCGTCTTTGATAAACTATCGCGCCTCAGCCCTGGTTTATAGCTTCTGTGCGGGGGAGAAGAGAATTATTTATGGCCCCCCTAACTGGGTGTGATATCAGCCATGGCTATTATCGAGGCTAGTTCATCACCATAAAATAAGAAGTGTTCTTTGGGTCAAGGGTCTGCGCAGTCTCTCCTGTGGGTTCAGAGAGATGGGGCGGTGGTGAGGGAGGAGAGATATACGGCTGCTGAGTATCTAAAGATAAATGGAAAGATGTGTGTTTGTGGGCATAATTTAAAGAATTTCTAAATATACAGTGTTGACGCTTATACAATGGACCCTGCAGGGAAGCACGTGTGTTTTATAAGTATGCACACCCATGCTTACACATGCATGTTTACATTCTTACCAAACCAACCGTATGTAAACACACGTTTCCATTTCTGCCCCACAGCGGGAAAGGTTAACCAGGTAGACGAAGAGAAAATGCAACCCCGGGCGGGGGCAGCCTTCCTTTGCATCAAAGATCTTTCTTTACTCGTTTAGGACTGGGGAGTGCTGAGTTACACAGGGCCTTGCTTCCATTAAGACAGCCTCTGTATTGTATTTTGGTATTTGTGATTGCAAAGCACGGGGCTGAGTCATCTTAATAACATACCCACAGATGCAAATATATGGAAATCAAGCATCGCACAGATTTTGTGTGAAGCCCAGCTCTGGCAGGGTGGCCATTCCCCAGTTGTTTTTTCAGTGGCGCGGCTACATGCACATATATTATAGTAATTACTTTCTGGGTGCCCTCTGTAAGATGGCAGAAATATGCTCCACATCGCTCCATGTTATGTGTGAAGCATAAAGCCATATTGTAAGATAATCAAAGGCTTCTGAGAAAGGTTTGTGCTGATTAATAAAGTGTTTATGGTACTTTGTTTTGGGGAGATTGTGATAGATATTTTAGAGTCGCCCAAATGGAATAGAAAATACCACATTGTTATGGGAGGCCCTTCATCAGCTTGAGAGAGATTGCTGGGGAGTTTCATGATGGCTAAAAGCCGGAATCAGATGGAGAAACAGAAAGAGAGAAGGTAGGTGGGGGAGGTTTAGGATTTTGAAAGGGGAGAGGCTGGGAACTAGAGTATTTCAGTAGCAGCAAGTGTGGATTGTTGAGGATCTAACATTAACTTGTGGTTGTTTATTTTACATATAATAGAATATCTGAATGATGGAGTGTATTAGTTCTTTAATAATTTATAGAAATACTTTGATGTTGCAGTAATTACATTAAAGGTCACATATCAAAGGTAATTTGGTTGAGCAGCTGTGATGGTTTCTCAGAAGCAATCAATATCACTGTCCGTGGTGCTGATTTCACCAAGGGGCCTGCCAGATTAAAGAAGGCTTATTACCAGGCAGAAAGGCCCAGGGGAAATCAGGAGCACATTGGAGCGACGCGCCAGCCCCCCTTCCACCGATAATTAACACTGTTCCCCATAATCTGTGCTAATCCTTCATACTGGGAGATTCAGTGGCATTTTTCTGAAATCAGAAAGACAAGTTGAATAAGTTTGAGGGAAAGGGCAAAAAGAAACGTGAATGTATGTTGGGATGGGGAGGGGGGAGGATAGAGGCCAACAGTAGAGCTGAAACATAGCCTAGAGTCCCCTTGAACACCTTTCCTTCTTCAAAGGCTTCACAGGGAGACTCATGGCCTCAAAAACCTCATCAAACAATTCTCCGGGCAGGCCCCAGCCCACTGGAGGGAGGGGCAGGAAAAAAAGACTTGATTGCAGCTCAAAGTTCCGAGAGCACACTGTCTTCACACAAACCTACATGCAGATGAATGAAACATAAAATGACCAAGTAAAACTATTCTTTAAAGTAGAGTCATTTTGATTCCAGAAAGCAGACCTGATGTTATTATTGTTGATTGGTTCTCTCTTTTGAGATCAGAGAAAGTGTGCCACTAGCAAATGCAGGGATGGGACCAAGCCAAATGCTCTCACCCAATCAAATAATAGGTGCCCCTGCCGGCTGAGGCTGTGTTCATGGCTGCCTGTTTGGGTGAGAGGCGGAGGGGGACCTCTTCTTGTCTGGGGTGACCACACTGGGTGCCCCAGCAAGCACAATCTATGTCTAACTAAGGAGAATGAAATTGAAAAAAAAAAAAGAACCTGGAAAACTGGTAACCTCAGCAATTTAGGTACTTTTTCAGACTTCAAAATCCATTAAAATCAATCCATTTAAATCATCCCTCCACTTTCTCGCTGAGGAAAGAAAGAGGGGAAGAGATAGTACAGGCAGCCTATGCTGTTTCTAGCGAATTACGGAGCTTGCATGGTGTTGCCAGCAAGAAAAATAATCCCATTGCTGTCATACACACATTCCACCACCACCACCATGAGTGACAATAACAAAATGACAGAGGCAGAACTAGAGGCACCCTTAGCACATGTCTTCACAGGGGGCCTGAAAAGGGGAGCTGATCTTTCTCTTGGGATCAGTGGAAGCTCAGAAACCACACCACAGTGGTTGTTCTTACACATCAGTGGTAAGTGATTCCCAGTATCCCTGGGAACCAGCCTAAGCAGAGCTCTCTGATGGCTGATGGAGTCATCCCTGGACCAGTGTCACAAATGGATTATTATTTTTGAGTTTGGCATGTTTTCAGTAGAATTAGATTTACTAAACAATGAAGCTTCATCTGGGTCCTTTTGAGCACTGCCTTCTGCCAGAATCCAGGCAGAGTGCCTCCCTTTTTCTAAACTCTCTGCCTCTCTCTCCCTCATACTCTTGATCTCACTCTTTCCTGTTCTTCTCTTGCCCATGTCCCTCTATTCACAAAATTTGTTTCACTATTCACAGGGGACAGTCAACACGAGGCAGTTTCTCAACTCATCAGCAAGTATTTCCTGTGTGCCAGGCATTCTGTAAGATACAGAGATAAGAAAAACACATCCACCTCCCTGCTTAGAGTTGCCCACCAAGTTGGGGATAGAAGCCATGCACACAAAAATATCTACGTAGTCAACAATACAAGACAGCACATGTTGTTATAAAATAGGTAGTGTGGACAGTTGTTTAATCATCACAATATTTTTAAGTACTTTACCTACCTTGCCTCATTTTATCTTCACAACCACCCTATGAGGAAGATGTCATGATTACCCCCCACAGAGGAGGAGATTGAAGTTTGCCCAAGGTCACAAAGTTGATAAGTGGCCAAGCCAGGACCAACACTGAGTCTGCTACCAAAGCTCAAGATACCTACCTCTGCCAGCACCACCAGTTGCTTTAGGAATTTAGAGAGGACCAGGATGACCATGGAGTGCAGGAGTGACTCAAAGATTTTGTTCAGGACACAGGCAGAGTGGGAATAGAGTTGGGAGTAAAATTAGTCAGATGGGAGCACTGGTCTGAGAAATGGCCCAGAGTAGAGGCACACATGACAGTCCAGGAGCTGGGTGACACAGGGCAGCTGGGTGACACGGGACACCCCACTCTGAGAACCACCTGGGTCCCGAGTGTGCACAGGAGGCCTCTAGAAAGAAGTCTGTTTCTTAAAATCAAACTGTGATATTTTGTCACAGCTCCTCCAGCCATTGGGACTTTGCGGGGAATTGTCTTCCAGGAAGAGCTCATCTGTTTCCAATGTTGGGAATACAGGGTCTCAGGGCTCAGGTGCTCAGATAAGAGAAGACCAGGTGCTATGACAAGCGGTGGCTGGCACTTGCTCTTCTCGTAGCAGAAAGGGCTTCTCACCGGGGCTGGCAGGGAAAGAGCTGGGTCCGTCAGTAGGAGGCCAGGAAGCAGTGGGAATTAGAGCTGGCCGAGGATAGGGGTGGGGAGAGTGGGGTTAGAGGGAGCTGTATCTGCTTGGTAAACATTAAAGTTCCAACTCACTAGTTAAAGATTGGCTTTTGTGTCCTTACTCCAACAACCCTAGAATACAAAGCAAACTAATACACTCCTCCCTGCTGTCTCCCCCTTCCCTCCCCTCATGTCAGCCTGGCAGACATGCAGAGTCCCGCCATCACACCTCCTGACACAGGTCACCGTGACTCAGGATGGGTCACTTCCATGGAAATTCAATGTGACCTTCTTCGAGTTTACCAGGAAAGATGCTGAAGTGGAAAAGTTCTTTTTAAAAGAGTTCAGTTGGATTTCTAGCACCGCTCTCTCAGTGTCTCTCCTTTTTCTGTCCCTTCCTCTCGCTTCTTTCTTAATCCCATTTTCTCCTCCTTTTTTCTCTTTTTCTTTTCCTCTCTTCTCTTTGTGCCCGTTTTCTCCTCTCTTCTCTCCCTCTGCACAGTTTCCTCTAGTCTTTCTCACCAACACTTTCTTCTTTTATCCTTCTCACTCGTCTCTCCTTTCTCCCTCCTCTCCTCTTCCTTCCCTCCCACCCTCCCTCTTTTGGCTTTGGCCCACCCCACCTCTACCTGACACCCATAGCAGGCTCTGTTGGGGCCTCCATCACCATACAGGGGCTCCCCTGGTAAGACTCATCTCCCTCCCTGACAGTCCTGCCATTGAAGGATCCATCTAATTTTATGTACAACTGTAAAGATGAATGATAAGTAGAAAGGATGCAGGCAAGAA